TTTTTTTTTTTTTTTTTTTGTAGTGGAGTTCAGGAAGTGCTCGGGAAGTTCTCGGTACAGTGAGCGTCCTTTGCATACCTAGACAAATATAAGCTTCCTGTGATTTCTTTAGTTCAAAATGAGTAAACTCATAAAATGCACATATATATGCATAAAATTCGGGAAGAACGTTATTTTCCTTTTTTTCTCTCTTTTGCTTTCTCATCACAATCACTAGYATTGACAAATAGATGATGTTAAATTCTGTTTTCCTTTGTATTACTACTTTTCAGTGAAATAAAATCTGCAAAGGAGAAGTTAATAGTTCTGACGACTTTGATTTGGGCATGTTAAAACATAATTATAATCTTCAAAGAGATTTCTGTAGTCATTGTAATTGGCTGCACTGCTAAGCCTGGTATTCATAGTAACAAATAGGAAATGAAAAAGGGAATTTTACATTTGCTAATTAAAAGTTGTCATATTTTAAATTTTTGAGTGACAGACTCAGAAATATTCCTCTCTTGCATATACACAGAGAAGATTAATGTAAACTCCCTTTTAAAAWTGTAAATTTTTTTCTGTTGTGCTCACATTTTTACAGACATAAACAAAATGCTGTTCTATCTATGACTTCAGATGTGCTGTAAAAGATAGTCTTCCAAGATTGACAGTAATAGATTATTATCAACCAAGCAGGGAACTCCAAAGGCATTTGGGTGCATATTTTAGAACGTTTGTAGACCCCTTTCCTACAGATTAATTCCAAAAATCATCTTTAATACTAATAGTAGATATGTTTATACACAGATATGTATATATACCTACATACATATGTGCTTACAGATATATCATAATGATCCTTTGATTGCCTTTATGCCTTAGCTGAAGTGAGATGTTTGTATAGTTCTCCTGTCATATGTGGTGTTTGTTGGTCTAAGGTTTCTAAGGGCTGTGCTGTGATTAATGGAGGATACATTCTGGTAAAACTCTACACAAAGCAAACACTTATTTCTGTGCTACACCTCTGAACCTGCAGGTAAATCCATGTGGTTTCAGCTTCAACCTTGTAACAACAAATTATTTATGCAACTTGTCAAAGTGACACAGAAAAAGCAGTTGCACAAGAGGAAGCTGAAGCATATAAAACATAGTGAGAAGCAGCAGAAGGCTCCCATCACAGATCGTTTTTCCCCTTTCTATGTTTAGTCCACTAAGAGTGAATTTTTCATTACAATCAGATGAAAGCTCCCCCAGTCCTGCCATTTCTTCTGCAAGTTTGCTGAAAGTTAAAGCTCAACATGAAGCCTCTGGAGAATTACTCTGAGTTAATAACACCTGCAAAGAACAGAGTTTTCACTGTGAGCTAAATTGCTGTGTGATTGCCCACACATCAGCAAAAGTTATAATTGGGAGAAACTGAATATATTCTCTGTTTTTAAACCGTGAGGATTTTGTGGGGAGTCATTTTACGTTAAGTAGTAGAGGTATAACCGAGAATGTTTCACAGCAACAAGCTGTGTTTGTTTTAACAGCAATATTTATTTTCTATGAGAAGATTTCTATTATTGTCAGCTGCTGTTGCAGCTTTGTGCAGTGCACATTTAAAAACCTTTTCTTAATCTTAAGCAAAATTATCAGGGACTAGACTTTAAACATGGATTTTTTTCTTCCAATTTCTTTTGAATTTAGAAATTGATTCTTTGTATTCCCTAGCTGTATTTCATAAACATCAAGCTTAGTTCTGATTTTAATCTCACATTTGTGACATATATGCTAGAGCAACTAGCAATGAGCAACTCCCTGCACAGCAGTGGAAATTACCCCAGATATCCTTTTTTGTTGCTTCCATATGTTTCAGAAATACATTCATAGCTAACAAGAACAATTCAGATAGCTTCTGAATCAGATCAACTATTAATATTATCATATATCCAAAAAAGAACAGAGAAAGAAGAGTCAAATAATCTTGTCTATGCATTATATTTTGAGATACTCTTATTCAATGAATCCTGTATCAATTTAAAACTCATATTTAGAGAAAGATTCAAGCTTATGTTTGATGACACTAACACAGTACAAGCAAGAAAGGAGTAAACCTAGTTTTTCTGGAGACAGGTATGCATGGGCATTTGCAGACAAACCACTTTTTTTTTTTTTTTCTTTCACCTATGCTTTGAAGTGAACCAACTCTGGTCCATAGGCCAGGTAACCTTGTTAGCAAGTTATAGTGCTGAGGTCAGTAGCATGATCAGAGATTCAGTTGACAGGTACATTGCTGGATGTGCTTTCTGTGTTGGAAGTACTTGAACTCTACCTGCTCATCCCTGAGCAACAGAGCATTGTGACTTGCAAAATTATATAGTCTCATTTAAATAACAGTGTATAGCTTACTTGTATATTCAGAAAGTTTCTTACATGCCAGCATGCATTTTGGACTACCCACTGAATACTGTTATGAACCTTTTGATATACTCCTCAATCCCTTCTCATGCCTGCTTCTTTCACAACACAAGTGCCTCGGAATGTAGTCCAAGTTAAGTTTTTTGTTTTGATTTGTTTTGYTTTTTAATTGATGTACATTTACTGATGTAAAGCTAAGGGAAGATGAACATTTCTAGGRCAGTGACATCTGATTTCAGATATGTACTTTTAGAGCAGTACCTCCAGCGCAGAACTGTCTGTGAAAAAYGATGCCACAGGCTCTAGCTTCAAGCTTATGATCTCCGTGTCATGACTCGTGGATGATCCTAGAATTTAATTCAGCCATTGCAGAGATGGATTAAGACATGGTGTTTGGCTTGGGGCTCTAGGGAAGAGGAGAGGAAGCAGGTGCTTTATGGAATCAAATCTCCATGTGTCAACAACACTGCACTTGCCAGATGAACTTGTCTGTTCCAGCTGCACTGCTCTAAGAATGGTTCTTTCAATACATATTCATTTGATGTATTAAGTATCTGAAATGTGCTGTCAGTTTCTTTCAAAGAGTTTTGTGGAAGTGACAGTTGGGACAATACAGTATCACGGTAGCATCCAATAGTAAGAACGAAAGTAGAAGCTAACAACTTCACATTGTGTGAGGTGCTGTAGAGTGGGACTTTTACACCCTTGTCCAGACAACAGTGGAAGAAGGAGAGAGATGACTCTCATTTTACAGAGAAGAAAAATGATGCACTAAAATTGTTGAGAAAACTAGTGGCAGCTCAGAGGAAATCTGAAGGTGGAAAACTCAAAAAAAAAAAAAGTGCTATTTGAGCTTCTAGCCTGTGTTTTTGTACTGTCTATATAATAGACAAACATATGCCTTTTCATAATTATTCTTTTCAAAATGTGATACCCATAGAAAAAGCATCTCACAGAGGGATGAAAATATCCTAAATTGAAAGAAAGGGATCCAAGCAATACATACCAGATATACAAATTTTAAAAGATGGGTTTTCTTTGTCCATGATCTGTCACCCAGATATGTGCCTGAATTTAGATGCTTCATTTTGAAACATTCTGAAATTCAGTTTATTGGAGTTTGTATACAGAAGTCACATTCTTCCCTGACTTTGAAATATCATTGAAAGCTAAATATTGTAAAAAGAGGAAATAAGGAAAGGGAAAAATCTGTTGTTTTTCTAGGTTGTCCTGGGGCTAAGAAGAATGAGTTCCTGACTAGTGTTTTGGATGCATTGTCCACAGATATGGTGCATGCAGTTTCTGATCCMTCGTTGTCTTCTAGCCGGTGGGTTTTAGATCTTTTCCTGTGTCTTTAGATCCTTTTCATGTCTTCTGGTAGTGATGAATGAAGTGTTAAGGACTCTGAGAAATAATTTTACTTCTGCCTTCACAAAGAGTAAATATCCAAGAACTGATCAGGGAAATTTTACTTCAGAGCTATCGCTAGGGACAATGCCCACTAAATAGGCATGTATCTGATGGCTGAACTCTAATCAGCAACACAGGTTACAGTTTGTAACCTGTAATTGCTGGTAATCTGTAATTGCTGGTACAAATATACGCCAATCTTAGTTTGCTTTCCTGTTAGATTTCTCTTGAGGAATGTGCACTACCTTCTAGATTCATATTTTGCCTCATGGCTTCTAAAACAAAACTGCTAACAACAGTCACACCTAGAATTAAAAATAAGTAAAATTTTGCAAGTCTGCAGGTCAGATTAGTATTTTAACTTACTCTCTGTTGAATGGATTTAGATTTTTGATTTCTAAGAGTGTCTGTAGTGGGTTGTACTCAGAGTCTAGATATTTATTGATGCTGATGGTTGGCCTGCTTCATTTGGGTGTGCTATGTGCTTGCATCTACAGAAGCATCCTTTTCACTTGTATTTCTCTGTTCACTTTTCTGTGCTTCAGGAAATAAAAGGAGAAGGCATTATTTTCTGTGTATAGTGCAGACCTGAGCAGAGTTTCAGAATTGGTTAAGACCGGATTCTAGTCCTTAGTATAAAATTAGCCATGTAACTGGCCACAATAAAAAGAAAAGAGATTCACTACAAGAAAGGAGTGTCCAAAAGTGAAGAGATTAATCTAACAAAGCACCTAGTGATCTAGCTAATCATAAGTAACGGTAAACAAACATATGCAATGACAACTAAGGCTTAACACTTGGTTTCTCTTTCAGAGTTTCAGAGCCTGATCCAAATCACACTCTGGAGGAGAGAGTAGTCCACTGGTATTTCAAACAACTTGATAAAAATTCCAGTGGTGACATTGGCAAGAAAGAAATCAAACCTTTTAAGAGATTCCTACGAAAGAAATCAAAACCCAAAAAATGTGTGAAGAAGTTTGTGGAATACTGTGATGTGAACAACGATAAGTCCTTGTCAGTTCAAGAATTAATGGGCTGTCTGGGAGTAACAAAAGAAGAAGGTAAAGCAGAAACAAAGAAACGCCATAGTAAGAATTTTTTTCTATCCTTTTCACTAGATTCTTCAAAGGTKTCAAAATTGGTATTTGTATATGCCAGAAGTATACAAAATAAAAAAGGACATCTGCCTGTAGCTTTTGGAGTTGTTGCTTAGGACAGATGAGGGGAAAACTGCTTCTGTGTATACAAATCATCACTTCACGTCCCAAAAGAATCAAAAACTTCCTGTGACTGGTCATTAAATGCTCACTTACGTTGCTTCATTACAGCAGGAAAACTAAGAGATAGGATATCATTAATAGTTAACTGAAAACAGTGTTATTATAACAGCATGTCACGAATGAGGGGAAGTGTCACAGCTGTACTTTTTGGATTCTTGCTGGGAAGGAGGCACATTATTTCCCCTTCTAATAGCTTCTCATTTCTCAAATGTGACCTAGAGATACAGTGAGGAATGTGGTCATCTATCACATGGATGGAACAACTGCTGCTACACCACCACTTTTGGCTGCAATGCTAGTAGAAAGATTACAGAAGTGCATCGTAATCCCTGCAGTATTCGTTCATGTAATTTCTGAAAACAAGGAATTACAAAATCTTTGCAAACAGCATCAGTTAATCTCCATCTTTTTTTATTGTAAGAAGCTGTAAACTATAAATATAGGCATTTTTTTTCTATTTGTTTGGAGGGCCAAAATGAAGCCGGGACAGTAAAACAAAGGTGTCATAGTGAATGAAAAGCAAGCTAAGTGGGAAATGCAGTCAAAATAAAAGGTTGGATTCTGGTCTAGAATGAGTATGTTGCAGAAAGGAATAGGTGTGCAGTGTACTAATAATATCTCTGTGGCTGCCTGAAATTGATTTCTTAGGACAAATACATGAAACTCAGGACTTTTTTGGGGCGAATTTAATAATAATCTCTTGCATTTTTCCTTCATAAGGGAAAGGTGAAAATATGTATGTAGGTGACTGTTATCTTTATGCTACAAATGGGGAAACACAACATCTTTTTTTGTGGTGACTTAAAATGGATGCTGTTATGCTCACTTAATACGTTAAAATCCACCACTTCTGTACTGTAGCAGCCAGCACTTCTTGGCTTCCTTTACGTGAAATTTGGATCCCAAGTCATTGGTCCAGGGCACAAGGGAAGGCTGTAGCAAAATACAACCTAAAACCCACTGTCCGTTCCAGTAAAAAACAAAAGCTGTCCATAAGCTGCCTGCTTCAGAGAACAGAGTTGTAAGATATATGAAATTACATGAAGATTATGCAAAGAAAGAAAATAAAAATTAGAGATAAAGTAAAAATTATATTCAGCATACTACACATTTTGACAGGACTTCTCCAAGAAAAATTGTGAAAACAAGAACACTTATTTTTGGAAGGAAAAAAGATTTCAAAATTTTTGCATGGAAAAACTAATAGCACACAATTAGAAAAAAAAAATTCTTAAGCAAATAGTTTCGTTGCTTTACCATATCCTAAAGGTAAATAATTCTTAAGACAAGAAAATAATGGCTTTTGTTGGAATATCAGCATTCACTTTTGTTTCTCTTGCCTATATAATTAAAATTTATATACATAAATAAAAATGTCATTTTCACATTCAGGATATTTCCTTACTGATAATCCTTTTAAAAAAAATCAGTCACCTCTTCACTGACGTTAGAATTATTCTTTCAGGAATAGGTGAACCATTACACCTCACATGTGAAAGCTGAGATGCATATTTGACTCTATAAGATCTTTCATTGGTCTTATAACATATATATCAAAAGATGTCTCATGAGAACCATTTGAAGCAGTAGAAAAGTCAGGGAACATCAATATGTATTTTCTTTGGGGAGTGGTAGTTTCTTCAGCGCTTATCAAGGTCGAGTTTAGTTCCCCTGTCTCAACTCAGCTTGATTGACCAGTAAACTGAGATGGACAATCAAGAAGCTGAGTTCTTCTCAAGCTTCTCAAGTTTGCCTTGAAGTAAGTAAGTCCAGTAAGTCCAGTAAGTTCATGTAGCTGGGTTTTCTATCATCATTTTGAGTACCATCTTGGTTTTTGTCGCTGAGAAACTTAAAACAACAGAGATAATCATATACTTTTGCAGTTTGCAAGTGAACAATATTTTTAACTGTTGGCACTACTGTTTTTGTGAAATATTTGTAAGCAAAGTGAATGCTTCCAGGCAGTCTTTCGTGCTTCCTTTCCATCAGGCATATTAGGATACATTTACTTCTGAGGACTGAATATATTTAAAATGTTCGACATTGATTGACCACCCACAACTTATTCTAAGCAAATGTCACATGTTACCTGGCAAGAAATTCTGTTGCTCAGTTTTCAGATAACTGTGTGAAAGAAACAACATCTATAGTGAGTAAAGAAAAAATCATGGATGTTTCAATATGAAATATTTTATCTTACTGAAACCCTTTTCAGAATGAGAGCTTCAGCTGTTGAGGAGGCTACATGTAATTTTCAAACCATATTCATGACATTTTCTTTTCCTCCTCTTAGCAGCCCCTAAAACTAATACCGAGAGCACTTCATCCAACAGGCAGGTAAGTACTGTGTAGAGCAAGATCTCTATTCTTGTCCTGCCCATCTGAACATTTTGTGCGTTTCAGTTATTACCATTGCACCTTGAAACTGTATTCATCTGCCATCCTGCAAACTTTCCAGGAAAATACAGGGCAGCATAATGCTAAGCAAAGTTTGTCTTCCTGTCTGTCTCAGGAAAGTTAGATCAATCAGTTACAGGTACTGAGTAAACATGAATGAATGAAAAGTGGATTAGACCTGCATTTGGATGTTCCTASTAAAGTGTAAACTGGCATTTAGTTTAGTGATGCTTAGATGACTGTAATTGAGTCCTCATATGGGTATTTTGCCTCCTGAACGACATCCCCAAACACTTTAGTGTGGAGTGCTTTATTGCCATTTACCTTTAGTTTTACTTGATTTCTTTAACCTTTCTCTGAGTCATACTACAGACACAAATTTGTGCTAATCAAAATCTTTTTTGTGAAGAGAGCTATGCATTTTTTATGCTCTATGAAAATCTATACATCTGTAATATACAGTGTAGAGAAAAGAACTGTCATCTTGAAATGCCTTTACTAAGCTAAATGAAACTGAAAAATCTAGAATTTTCATCAGTCGGAAGATATATCTTATGACCAAAATTGGTTTGGTCTATTGAAGGTTTGTAACAAATAAGAGAATGCCAAGTGCCCTGATAACATAATCTGCATTTGATTTTCAATTTGTTTTCTGCAAAGACTGATATTCTTTCAGAATAGAGCCATTTTGTGCCATTCATRGAGTTCTGGTATTACCTCTGGCAGTACCTCCACAAGGCACAAAACTGTAAACATTTTTAAATCATGAAAAGGTAGACACTGAGAAGGGAAACCCAGGGGAAAGGTTAGAATGGACTTCTCATTTGCATGCATGCATTTTCATAATCATTAATGGTTTTCTGGACAACATTGGCACAACTTCCTGTTACTTTTGCATATCTCTGAAGGAGGACTTGCTGAGTTTGATCTAGTAAAAGCAAAAACTTAATAATTTTTGCTTTGCTTTTGTATTAGTAATTAAATGAATAACAGATACAAAAGCTTCAGGTAATGATGTTTTTTTAAAGGTATTGCTATATATATAAACGTAGAAAACACTGCAGCTGAAAAAATATGAATTTGGAAAAAAAATACACAAAAGCCATAGTTGTAGTTAATTATCCACTGTCTTCTTTCTGTGAGAAAACTAGATTAATTTGTTGAAAACTGAACCCTGAGTGAACCTCCCCGTAAGCTAAGAGAAATAGTCTTCTCATTGTTGCTAGTCAATTTGTTACTTGCTTTATCTCTTGATTTGTTTGATATTAACTTCACACTTCCTAAGGCAAGCTCAACACTGGCTGTGGGTTCTACCAGAGACAACCTACATACCTTTGATGGAATATGAAATGTTCTCACAGCCAGAGGGATGTGATAAGTTTGTATTTATTTAAACAAATGTTTGTGGTCTTAACTTTTCAAGTTCTGCCCACAAATCACTTATACTTTAAACAACGCAGCCTGAAAACAATTACCCTGTCAGAACTCAAAAACATTCAAAGGGGTTATTTTAATTATACAATAGCAATTACTGGCACACGTGCATTGCGCTTGCATTGCAAATGACATGCCCTCTCCCCCTTTCTTGTAATCCAATCCTGACTTGCAGAATTTGTAATAAAAGTGTCCTAGAGATTCTATTTTTTTTTCATTTTTATCCAATAATTCTGCTGACTCAGCACCAATTATTTTAAAAGCTGTTGCTGACAAATGATAGCTTTGACTTAAGGCTGGCTCAGCAAACCATCTGTTGGCAGTTTCATACTATAACAATGCAAAATTGCAAATGTAGAAGGTGGTTTTCATCATAAAAGCTTTTGCTTGAATGGAAATTGTTGAAAAGGAACTGTGCTGAGTAGGAACCCCTTAAAGGAAACCACCTAAGAAGAAATGATTAGATCAGCACCACTCAGGAGATGGATACATGGAAGTACTACCTCATTTTTACTAGTTTATTGCTGTAGTTCAGTTATTTATACAATTTTAAATATGTTGTGCAGGTATTAATATTTTACATGTATATATTAACACAGGATTTTTTACAAACACTTAGATTTACAGAAAGCAAGCAATAGATACATATAATAATATACAAATTGAGTCTCAGCTGTGGTCATTCTAACAGAAGTTAAATATGTCACAGCTCCAACAGAACTGGGGTAATGGTTGGAGATAAATCTCTTACTTAGCCCCCCCCATCCAACAAACATCCATGTTCACACACAATATGTATGAAACATAGAGAGTGTTTTGCAGCCTATCAAAAAGTTTACAAAGAAACTAGAGAATATTCATGAGGCTTTGGCCAGCAGCCATCCCTTCTGCATCACATGCTATAGAAAGCTATTGGCAAATAGAAACTCTAGAAAACTACAAATAGGGCTTTAGAACTATAGAAAACTACAGGCAAAACTGTATTGACATACCCAAGTAATTGATAAAATTGTGTGTTTGCAAGGTACAGATACTGTGAAGGACTATGTCAGGATTATTTTACATTTGTATTTGTACAGAACTCTTGTTAAGATAGTGGCAAGTGGACACTGCTGAAATAAAGAGAAAACTGTTCATAATTGATTTCTTGAAAATATCAGTAATAATGCATTTTTTTCCAACTGTCTCTCTTTCAGCAAGTTTCTAAGAAGCAAGGGTGAACAACTTTTTAATCCAAGGCAAATCTCTTTGACGTGGGAGATTTCCTCACCAAAGGCAATAAAAACAACTGTAGTATTTGCACTTTGTACGTTAAAATGTAAATTCACTTTGTAGAAATGAAATATTTAAACAGACTTTTCTTAATCTGTGAAAATGTAATGGCTAGTTTTGAAAAATTATCACATACAATGTATGTGCCTTCTGTCGTCTGAAATATGTAGAATGTGTTGGAGATGTACAAGGTTGCATTTAAACCTTTTTAATACATTGTTTAAAAACACTAGTTTAGAAACCTGATTCTGCGTATTTTGGTTTTAGTAGTATGTCTTGTGGGTTTTTTTTGTTTTGTTTTGTTTTGTTTTGTTTTTAACCAATACTGTATTTTAAGTAGAGTTATGATGAAAGGTCTACTGTATTCTCAGTTTTGTCCAAGCAATGTTGGATATTTCAGGTTTCCAGGACCAAGGGAAGTGTAAGTTGCTGTTGAGTTGTTTTTTGCAGTTTTAAAGTGAATCAATTTTTCACTGGTGGCAATGTTTTTTTCATTTTGATTTTATTGTTATGCCATTCAAAGATCAGGCAGTGAGAATGCAACCACTAATGAATTCAAAACAGTTATTCTRCCGTTAAGGTTCTTGTAGAAAAATGTATCCGTTTATCCATTTTTGAGGAGGCTTTCATTATATGTTTTGGTAAGATTTTTTGCCCTGTATGTTTTTCTTTGAGTTATTAATGAAACAAACCAAGAAGGAGTAAGGTGTATTTTAACATCACTTAGATTTGGCTCAATATGACAGGCAGACAACATGCTCCTGCTGTAAGTGCAAAGCAGAAGAAGAGTCTCTGTGGGTCAGGACCATAAATCTAACTAGAAAGAGCCAGAGGAAAAGAGGAAACTAAACAGATTTGTCAGCCTTTTCTTCTCCTACACCTGGCTGCCCCCACCAACTCYTTGAGTTGCCTCAGGGTCCACTAAAAGGTAAAGCTGTCAGGCAACAAATTATGAACAGTTGCCATGAGGAGGGGCTATTGACATTACCCTTCCCTGAGGCATTTTCTTGCTTTCTGGAAGAAGTTCTCACAAGTTTTCATACCTTCTGTCATTTCATTCATTTCCCCGTCACCCCCGCCAACACTTTTTTTTTTTTTTTTTTTTTTTTTTTTTTTTTTTTTAAAATTTTTTTTTTTTTTTTTTTTTTTTTTTTTTTTTTTTTTTTTTTTTTTTTTTTGGTTGTGTTTCTATGCCTGAGGAGGAAAAGAACTTATGGATGTGAATTTAGAGCCCGGGACCTAAGTGAAAGGGCTCAGCCCTTGAACAACTGTGAGTTACAAGCAGCTGGATTGATTGATGCAGTGGTAGTTGGATTGCTGGCATATAAGAACTGACAAGAAAGCAGGAATGTTGCAACAAGCAGTGATTTCATTCTGATTTGCTTAAATAATGTGTGGGGTTGGACATGTGACTAGCTAATCGTAATAGCACCCTTGCTTGAGCTTGTACCTGGAAAAGCTTTATTGCAAATAAGAATGTTTTGTTTCAGTTCTACATATGAATAGATGCTGAAGTGATAGCAAACACTGTATGCAATGAAATTGTATCAAAGAAAGTGAGTACTTTTAAGCTTTAGCCGCAGGAGGATCCAAGATGCAACTGTGTGTTATCTTGTATGTTTGTTTTAGAATGTATTTGTTATTCTTTTATAATGCTAAACTTTGAATTTAATCTTCTTTATAAAGTCCAATATACGATACCTTTGTTGTCATCTTTTTTTTTTTTTTCTTTTCTGCGACACAGGCATCTTTAAAAGTAGTTACACACTGTGGTGAAGTACATTATCTTTAATAATTTTTCAACTTTTTTTTCCTATAGTTCCTCTCAAACAGTGAAGTCCTATTGCAATGTTCATGAAGCAGCCATTACATCGATACCTAAGCACTCTGTGAGGCAGACAAACAAGTCACACAAACCACTGTAAATATCATGATGATCATAATAATCTCATGAGCAACTTCTGTCTGAGCTCTCTTTCTGTCCTTGACTCTATTATTGACTTCTTTCCTAAGTTAATTCATGCCTTACTTACACCATGATAGCAATTTTGAGACCATATTCTTTGTTTTTACTAACTTCATATAGGTTCATCTTGGCCTCTTTCGTTTTCTCAGTACAGTACAATGTAGCACAGATGTGCTCTGTACCTTCTGCCCTCAGTGTAATTGCAAACTGCTAGGCAATCTCCAGCCACTCTGAAATCGATAAGAAGGAGAAAGGTAGTCCCTTAGGAATATTCCTCATTTTGCATGATGGAGCTCACTGTGGTTAATAGCAGCATTTTAAAAGGTGCATCTGACTTCATCTGACTTTTTCACATGTGATCTTCAGAAGCAATATAAATGTTTGCTGTCAAGTATTTTGTCGAGCTGTCCATGATGTGAAGTGACAGCTGTTTTTAAACACTGAGAGGGAGAAACCTATTGACTGGCTATGTGATTATGTTAAGAGTAGCCTTAAGAGCTTAAGAGCTTCATGAATAAATCCTTTGGCCTTTTTCCAAAGACTCTTACAAYACTGAGTCATTAAAAAATGACTGAAATATAAGATTTTTCATCATTGTACGTATTTCTGAACTGTTCTGGGTCTTTTTAATTTCCAGCCATTACACCACCCTGCTATAAGCAGCACCTAGTTCTCATAGCTGTAATTAGGGATGAGTCCACACCAGCACCCGGAGCACACCAGAGTGCTTGACAAATTCACATTTGGCTTATTTATCTTCTGTATGTCTATAGGATGATGAGATAGACCTTTGCCTTTATAGTTTTAACCAAGCCCAGATCCCAAAAAAGAATYTGTGTGAATAGGCCCTTAGGCTCATGTCACGGTACCAGTGTTTATTYAGTTCCCTGGTAATGGATTAGTTCTACTTTTTATGCTATTCTATATGTGCAACAATTTTGATATAATTTTAATTCCATTCTTACTGAATGCAAAATTTATATTCTGATTCTCATTGACAATTATTTATTTTGTTGAACAGAGGTTTTTTAGAGCTTTTATAATTTTGTAAAGCAAAGTCTGTTAGCTTTTAGAAATGTGTATGTGTTCAATGATTTGCCCAGTCTATTGCAATGACCATTAGTCAAAAAGCTACACAGTGAAAAATACTCTATGTTTATCAACATTTTGGATAAATTTCTCATCCTTTTACCAATCCTACAATCAGGCCAACTTCATACTGCCAGTTTTATCAAAATCACTTCATTTTCATTCTTGTCCCAATCTAACAAAATGTGTAGTTGTCAGATTCTTATTTTGCAGACCTATCTGATCACATTTAAAGATTTTTTTTTCTTGTTAATGACATTTCTGTCAACAAGACAACACAGGAGCAAAAAAATCAGTACACATGGGAATTACGAAAAGACTGAAAATTAAACTGAAATCTTTTGTATAGGTCAGTAGTTAAACTTCGCACTGTTCTCATTTGGCCTGACCTTTTTGTCTTTCTCTCAATGGAGAAAGCAAGCATTCATAGAAAGCTGTAAGGTGAAAGAAAAATATAGATTACATCATTAAAAATCTTTAAATGTGTCCAAGATTTGATAAATTTAGTTAATGTTTTCCTTTTACAGTAGTAATAAAAGAAGGATTAATAGAAATTAAGATATCATCCCTGGCAAAGATAATTTAGCTGTCCTTTTTAAATATTTACACTAGCGTATTATATAACTAGATTTTGTATTAGGAAGTAGTGTGATAGAGTCTTTAATGTAAAAGGTGAAAGGTTTATTACATCTGTTTTCTTTAGGATGGCAAATGGATGTCATTGTGAAGCAATTACTTTGTCATTAAATAGCAACCAATTAAGCTTATTGATGTTTGAAACACTGGAACTAGTATAGTAAATTACTGATACAGACTATACTCTTTGTCCCATTTAATTGCTTCAACTCAAGTTTTATAAGTGAAAATATGCCCTTTGTTTAAAAAGCATAAATATTCCTTTTTTTTTTTTTTTTTTTTTTTATTTAAACAAAACCTTATGTGGAAAGTATTCAGAACAACATACTTCTCTAGAACAGCAAATGGTTGGAAATGGCAGGGAAGCAGTGTTCTGTTTTTCACCTAGGTCAACAATAGAAGTATCTGCAGTATTACCATCTTTTATAGGTCCACATTCCTTATTCTGTCATATGTTCTGTCCTCTGACAAATGTCACTGCTAAAATACAAGGCACATTGGAAGGTAAGATAGTGAAATGAGAATCAATTACATGTATATGAAAAAACATTGTAAAATAATCTGAGGCATCCTTTCACTAGATGCCCTCTTTATTTTTGACATTAATTCAGTGCATAGGATTATTTAGTTCCCATCAAATACAGAATGCTTCTTTGCACTGAATCCATTCCTGACTGAACAGATGCTTGATGAAGAAAAGTACTCATCCAAGATTAACATTGTCTATGAGGCAAATCTATTGTAGGTGAAACGCCACAATTGCTACTACAATACAAACAATAAACTTCTGCAAAGTCTACTCAGGATCTATATCTCTGATATTGCTTTTATCTTTTCCAAGTAGTCAGTCAGAAAACAAACAAATAAAAAAAAAAACTGAATGGTGCTTCCATTGAGAGATACTACACAATGACTGATAGATTTCGTGTGAATGAAGAATTCTATGGAACTTTGCTTTCAAAGATATGCTGTCAGTTCAACAATTATTTTTATGTCAAAACTTCCCTATTTTATGAGCATTTTATACACCATTTTTATCACAAAATTAGAGATGAAAAATAAAGATATTTTGATTTTTACTCCAATTTGATGTTTTTAAATCATTTTTATTTGAAAGAAAACTGATTTCCAAGCATTTGTAATTCTTCAGCTGCATCTCTCTAATAAACAACATTGTAACACAAAGATCATGAAGAAAACTACAATATGGGCAATGGTATTTATACAAGTTTGTATCCACATAGCCCAGTTAAAACCGCAAAACCACCACAACATTAATGGCAGATATATATCAACCTGCAGATATATACCGCATACCTTTCAGGATTGTACAAATGTATCTACTGTGGGATTGAATGAAATCCTGCTAAAATCTGAAATAGCATCCTGGCACATCTCTGTCTTCCACCATATATTTTAGACTGATGCATGCCTACTTTGACCATCACCTAAGATGCAGTCCTAGCTCTGTCAGCACAGAGCTCCCAGAAGCTTTCCTCAATCTGAAGGTTGTTTTTAGCTCTTTGAGACCCAAGGCTGGCCTATCATCAGGACAGAGATCCAAAAATAACACAAGAAGAACACATGGGTAGAGCTTGTAAATAACAGGATATTACCCATAGCTCATTTTCTTTATTCTTCTGGGCTGTGACCCACTGCAGAAAAATATAGCTGAGTACTTCACCTCGATATCATCAGTGACAAACCCTAGCTTCTTGTTTCCTGATCCATCAAATCCATGCTCCACAGAAACAGGTAACTAAGCTTCAGCAGTGGGAGAGTTAAAGTGAGTCTTATTTAAGGGGCATTAGAGAAATACTCGGTCCTCCTTSAATAAATGCATGTACTCGATTAACAACCACCTAACAATTCCTCTTTCTTCACAACACCATATGACCGACCAGCATCTGTGTACATCAGGTCTTTAATGTTGTGCAG